CGTATCTGCCCCCCCCCTTCCCCTCCCCGGGACCCCCCCCGGGACCCCCCCCCCCCCCGGCGGGGAAGGGATCAAAGGGAAGGGGCTTCCCTTCGACTCAGCTACGACGTTGCTCAATTTCGCTTTGCCTTCGACTCAGCTACGACGTTGCTCGATTTCGCTTTGGTTTCGCTTTGGCTGGCGCGCCTGAGGGGAGGGACGACGACGACGACGACGACGACGACGACGGCGACGACGACGACGACGACGACGACGAACGGAAGAGCATCGACGACGACGACGACGACGACGACGACGACGACGACGACGACGACGACGACGACGACGACGACGGCGACGACGACGACGACGACGACGTTCACGACGAACGGAAAAGCATCTTCCACACGCCGACAGGGTCGGCGGATTTCTGTCTTTCTCTCTCTCTCTCTGTCTCTTTCTCTTTCCCTCTCTTTCTTTCTTTCTTTCTTTCTCTCTCTCTCTCTCTCTCTCTCTTCCTCTCTTGAAGAGGAGGAGGAGGAGAATGAGGAGGAGGAGGAGGAGGAGGAGCCGCAGGCGGATGAGAGTGGGGGTGGGGCCTCCCTACTGGCCCCCCTTAGGATCACCCGTCCCGGACCCTCCGCTGCCTCCTTCTGGACTCCCCCTTTCCTCTTCCTCGCGTGTATGTCGTCCTCCTGCTCTTCCCCCTCGTCTTCCTCCTCGCTCCTCTGTCCTTCTCCCTGGGGCGTCAAAGGTTCACTGGTCTTGATCGTGGTTTGCATCTCCGCGCTCTGCGGCGTGCTACTACAGCAGGAGCGCGCACCCATGCGACGCTGGCTTTCCAACGCTCCAACACGCCGACTTGGAAGGTCGGCAACAGCTGCCAAGTATCGTGTGCAGAGCTGTATGGACTGTCTGTGTAGCAATGCATTCTGGGGGAGGCTCGGGATTCCGAACGTCTCGGAGGCCAGACGTGTGAACCTACAGCATTCCCTAAGCATTCGGTTCCTGGGATCTGTTGAGCTGGTGTCTCTCTCAAGCTCCAGGGAGCACACCGCCCTCGCGCACTACGCCATGGGGCGCTGTTCATTCGGAGCGTGGCGTGAACGAGTTGTGTTTAACGAAGATTGACGTCATTGCGATTGTGACCAAAGCCCCTTCTTCCGCATCACTTGCGAAAGCCGAGCGCGCTTGTAGTCACGATCGCAGCGACCATGCACCGAATTAGTGTTCCATTACGTCTTTCATTAAAAAAGGGGTGTATCAATCAGGATGCGATCTCCAGACACGTTTGATCTGCGGGGCGAGAGCGAACCTCTTCCGCTAAAAGCTACGCGATCTCCAGTTCGATTTGGATTCCGATCTCTCATTGGAGGCTCACTAGCCTGCCGATTTCCGCCGACCCCCCCCCCGCGCGCCCCCCGCCACCCTAGCGGTGGCGCGCGCGCGCCACTTTCCTGCCATCCAGACCTCGGAACAAAAATAGCGAACACGCATGCCACATTCATCGGTCAGCGCCTCCCCCCCTCCCCCCCAATGTTGAAGGTTGGCAGTGGGTCTGACGAGTTGCACTTCGACCGCGGTCTCCCCCGCGCGTGTCAACTTTGAGTTCGGGGGAGCAGGGGAGTGTTTGTCTCCCCCTGCCGTCGGTCGCCCGGGGCTGGTGGCCCCGGGGGCTCCGCCCAAACTTCGGGCGGGGCCTCCTTGTTCCCGTTGTGCCGGGACGACTGGGGCGTATAGAAATCGCGGTGAGAGACCACCCCCCAAACGCCCCCTATGGTGTCGAGAAAGTGCCATACCTGCTGTGCGGGGACGGCTGGGGCGCGTGGAGACCGCGGGGAGAGGACCCCCCCCCTGCGCACCCCCTGTGGCGTCAAGATAGTGTCACGCCTGCTGTGTTGCCAGACTTCGGCGGGGCCTCCCCTGCCTGGGCCCCGCCCAGCAGTTCACGTCCCCGCCGCCTGCGTTCGCCGACCGCGCGCAAGGGTTCCACCCCTCGCCGGAGTGGCCTTTCAGGTGCGGGCCCACTGGGACCGACCCCCGCTCGTGGAGTGCGATGTGGCAGCAGCGGCCTGCGCGCTTTTGCTTTTGTCTCTGGCCTCAGGTCGGGCGTGTCCCTCGACAGGAGAAAGATTCTAAAATGGTAAAAAAAGAGTTGGGGAACGATGTTTTGAGTATTCTTGACAATGTGGGGGTATTTTCCGAGTGTTTTCAGATTTCGCCCAAAATCCGCCTGTAGGGGGACATGCCCGACCTGAGTCTGGCCCCCTTTGCGCCCCCCCCCCAAAGGTCACTCTTGCCTGGGGCCACTTTTGCGTGCGGCCCCGAGTTCGCCGCGATGGGGAGCTCGAGGGCGAACGTGATAGGAAGACGAGGGGTTGGAGGTGGAGGGCGGGGGTGGGGGGTTGGGGTTGGAGATCGAGGGTGGAGGGTGGAGGGCGGAGATGAGGTGGAGGTGAGGTGGGAGGGGAACGCCACGCAAACTGGTATCTAGGTGCTGGTCAGGGCCCCTCAGCAGGGTGTTTTATTCGCTTGCCTTGTCCTTGAGAGGGCCACTGGCGGGCCTCCTCATTGCCATTGCCAAGTTCACTCGAGAATATGATGAGGAGGTGGCAGAGCTACGGAGGGGGGGGAAAAAGAGGCTGGTGATTAGTAGTAGTAGTAGTAGTAGTAGTAGTAGTAGTAGTAGTAGTAGTAGTAGTAGTAGTAGTAGTAGTGGTAGTGGTAGTGGTAGTGGTAGTGGTAGTGGTAGTGGTAGTGGTAGTGGTAGTGGTAGTGGTAGTAGCAGTAGCAGTAGCAGTAGTAGTAGTAGTAGTAGTAGTAGTAGTAGTAGTAGTAGTCGAGTAGTAGCAGCAGCAGAGTAGTAGTAGCAGAAGTATAGTAGTAGTAGTACTAGTAGTAGTAGTAAGTCGAAGTAGTCGTAAGTAAGTAGTAGTAGTAGTAGTAGTAGTAGTAGTAGAGTAGCAGTAGTAGTAGTAGTAGTAGTAGTAGTAGTAGTAGTAGTACTAGTCGTAGTAGTCGTAATAGTATAGTAGTAGTAGTAGTAGTAGTAGTAGTAGTAGTAGTAGTAGTAGTAGTAGTAGTAGTAGTAGTAGTAGTAGTAGTAGTATAGTAGCAGTAGTAGACGTAGTAGTAGTAGTAGTAGTAGTAGTAGTAGTATAGTAGTAGTAGTAGTAGTGAGTAGTAGTAGTAGTAGTAGTGTAGTGGTAGTGTAGTAGTCGTAGTAGTCGTAGTAGTAATAGTTAGTCGTAGTCAGTAGTATAGTAGTAGCTAGCAGTAGTAGTAGTAGTAGTAGTAGTAGTAGTAGTAGTAGTAGTAGTAGTAGTAGTAGTAGTCGTCGTCGGTCTCGTCGTCGTCGTTGTCGTCGTAGTAGTAGTCGTAGTGGTAGTAGTAGTAGTAGTAGTAGTAGTAGTAGTAGTGGTAGTAGGTAGTAGTAGTAGTAGTAGTCGTAGTAGGTAGTAGTAGTAGTAGTAGTAGTAGTAGTAGTCGTAGTAGTAGTAGTAGTAGTAGTAGTAGTAGTAGTAGTAGTAGTAGTAGTAGTAGTAGTAGTAGTAGGAAGAGGAAGAGGAGGAGGAGGAGGAGGGAGAAAAAGGAGGAGGAGGAGGAGGTCTGGACCGTTCTTGTTGCGTGCTTCCGCAGGGGAGGGTGAGACGTGGACGCGAAGAGCGATGCCAAGCATGACGCGACACTTGACGCAGCAAAGCGATCCCGGATCTGATGTTGTGCCGCGCCCCGCACTTTGGTTGGTCTCATGGTGTTCATGTGCGTGCGCCAGCGTCAGTGCGTGTTTGTGCACTTGCGGGGTGTGCGTAATCATGTGTGCGTGTATTGGTCTGCGTGTGCTCGCCGAGCTTGTGTGGGCGAGTCGGCGAGCAGAGACGCCGCCGCCAAGCAAACAAGCTCTTCAGCTGGAGTACCCCGTCCCCGACGGCCTTGACGAGAAGGTTGCGAAGGCAGTCGCGGCCCTGTGAAGCAGCGTTTCTTCGTCTCCCTTTGTCCCTCTCCCACTCCCCGATCTTCCTCTCCCCTCCTCTGGAGCTGCGTTCCACTCGGTTGCCACCTCGACGGCTGCGCCTCTGGACGCCGACAGAGCCAGCCGACCCGCAGCATGCTCTCGGGTTGCGGGGGGCGCGCCGCCGTATCCGAAACCATCTGCGGTCACTACCACTGGTGATGTCGCGAGGAGACGGATGGTGAGGAGGAGGAGAGGAGGAGGAGGAGGAGGAGGAGGAGGAGGAGGAGGAGGAGGAGGAGGAGAAGGCACGAGCGAGGAGGACGAGGAGGGTGAGGATGGGGATTAGGAGGAGGAGGAAAGAGATATATTGAATCCCGAATCCTTCACATTCTTTGAATTGTAACCAGGAAGGACTCGGGAAACCTCTCCCGCCCGTCCACGCCGAACGGAGTCGTACTAGGAGTCTACGGGGGGAAAGGGGGGGCGCTTGACGTCGCCGTAGTCACAATCGCCCTAGATTGATGACTTTCGTAACGGGTAAGTATGAGGAAGGCATGGATGAGGATGACGATTGTTCACTGTGTCAAGTCATAGATTTGTTTGTGGTGTTTGCACGTTTTCCGTATGCTGGCCTTCACAGTCGCTAGGGCACCATACACGGTCCACGAGGCCTCCAACATACGGTCCGAAGGAGCCCGCAGGGAGCTTCAAGAAGGACCCACGCGGGCCCAAAGAGGAGCACAACGGCAGTCCCAGAGGGCTCATCACGGCCCAACAGCGCCCCCAGATGGGCTCAAGTTGGGCCCCCCAGGCGGCCCAGGAGGGCCCGGAGACGGCCCTGGAAGCCCTCGAGACGGCCCACAAATGCCCCCAAGAGCGTCCCAAGACGGCATCCAAACGGCTTCAAAGTATTCCTAAGATTAGCCCCTCCAGCATGCGTCCAAGATGCCGCCACCAGCCCATCCAGAAACGATGCCCAGGCGAGTTGCCCCGATCGGGGATGTGGAGAAGCATGCAGTGCAATAAGGAGCTGGGGAAGCCGTTATGCCCTAAGATGTGGAGGATGGAGGAGTAATCGGAGGAGGAGGAGGAGGAGTGGGAGAAGGATGCGGAGGGGGAAAGGGAGGGGGATGGAAGAGGAGAGAGGAGGAAGAATAGGTGGAGGAGGAAGAGGAGGAGGAGGAATAGGCGGAGGAGGAGGAGGACGAGCAGAAAAGCCAGGGGCCTCTCGGATACCTACCGGTGTCGCTTCGGATTTCACGTGAGAGGTTCTGGGAGTTCTCTTGGGGCGTCCAGGGGGCCTCTTGGTGATCCTGGGAGCCTGTGGGAGCGTCTTGGGTGCCTCTGGAGAGCCTCTTGAGGGTCTCCTGGGGACCTCCCGGGGACCTCTTGGGGGCCCCTCGCGGTCTCCTGGGCGCTTCTCGGGGCCCTCTTGGGACACCCTTGGAAGCCTCGGGGGCCATCTCGGATGAGACCGATCAAAGCCGGGGGGAGTAAACTACAGTCCCCCCCCGGGGAAGCCAAACCTGGCCCCAGACCTGTGTCAAACACATGATGTGTGTCCTCTCGCCGAGACCGTCTTGGACGCTCGGTTTCTGCCCTACTACTCTGCTCCAACTCTACTCCTGCTCCACTCCACGCTTCTCCATTATAGTCCACCCTACTCCACCCTACCCCAGACTGAGCTGCTCTACCCTACTCTGCTCTACGTCTTCTCTGACCGTTCTCCTACGGTTCTCCTATACTCCTTTGCTCTACTGCTTTCACTACTACCCTAACCTAATGCACTCTAGTGTGTGTTACGCCTACTCGCGTTTACTCCTGATAGACTCTACTCTATTATATTATGCTCTATTATATTATGCCCTACTCTATTATAGCTGACTCGACTCCGCCGTCTACCCTACTCTGGTCTACCCTACCCAACCCTACCCTGAAGGAGTCGCAGATAATACCACTCGGATACCAAGAGGAATTGGCGGACACACAGTTAGCCATGCGCATAGCTTGACGAGTGCAAGAACAGCATATCGGGGGACCAGTGGACCAGTTCTCTATATGGATTGGGCAAGGACTCCTATAGGCAAGCCTATATGGGAAGCATCATGCCAGGTTGGAAATGTGTGACGCTTTACGCATTCCCATAGGCCCATCCAGAATCGATGCCCGAGAGATTTGTTTGGATGAAGGTGTTGAAGGAGGGGATGATGAGGAGGAGAAGGAGGAGGAGGAGGAAAAGGAGGGGGAGGAGAAGGAGAACGAGGAGGAGCAGGAGGAGGAAGATGACCAGGGAACGCAGGAGGAGGAGGGAGAAGGGCGGAGGGATGAGGATGAGGAGAGGGACGATGGGGATTGTTAGGAGGAGGAAAAGGAGGAGGAGGAGGAGGAGGAGCAGGACGAGGAGGGGAGGAGGAGGAGGAGGAATATAATACTGTATTCGAGAATACTGCCCCCTGGGCGTTGCAACGTGCCGAGTAGAGAGGCATGGTGTACTATTTGCCCGTTCTTCAGGCGTGGCGACGTATGGCGACGTGACGAGTACAGTAGAAGAGGCGTTTTTGATGCCCTGCTGCGTTGCCCTTTGGCGAGCACGCTGGAGTAACATTGATGTCGCACCCCCCCCCCCCCCAGAAGTTGCCGCGTGACGAGTTGAGTGGGATGGACTTTTTGTCCTATCCGCCCGTGTCGAGTGGAACGCTATTTTTGTTCCTCTGGCCTGCTGCGTGGCACGTGGCGAGTGTGATGGAATGATATTTGTTTGCCCCCCCTGGCATTGTCGCGTGACGAGTCGAGTGGAATGGTATTTTTGCCGACCCGCCTGAGTCGAATGGGATGGGATTCGTTCCAGCCTGCTGCGTGGCAGCTAGGCTAGTGTAATGGAATGATAAATGTTTACTCCCCAACGCTCTGCGGCGTGACGAGTAGAGCGGAACGGTATGTTTTCTGGCCCGCTGCGTTGGTGAGCTTGGTAGAAGTGTATGCATTCCGCCGCGATGCGATGCCACGCGGCGCCCAGAATAGAATCCGTATGTTTCGCCCCTTGGGCGTTGCCACGTGCCGAGTAGAGTGGCATGGTCTTTCTTTCGCTCCCCAAGCATGGCGACGTGACGAATCAAGTCGAGTAGGTTGTTTTTTCGCCACGCTGCGTGGCCACGTGGCGATTGCAATGGAATACTATTGGTTTCGCCCGCTTGGCGTTGCCGCGTGACGAGTAGAGTGGAATGGTCTGTTTTCCGGCCCGCTGCGTAGCCACGCGGCGAGTATGATAGAATAGTAGTGTTTGATCCCCAGGGCGTTGCCACGTGCCGCGTAGAGTGGCACGGGGTGTTTTTTCATTATCATTCCTGCTGCGTTGCCACTTGGCGAGTTTAAAAAATAATATGTGTTTCGCCCACAGGCGTTGCTGCATGAAGAGTTGTGTAGAATGGTAGTTTCCGCTTCGTCCGAGTCGAATGGACCGGTAATTTTCTGGGGCTGTTGCGTGGGTGCTGGGCGAGTGTCATGGCATACTACTTGTTCCTCCCCCCAGACGTTGTCGCGTGCCGAGTAGAGTGGATTGGTATGTTCGCTGGCCCGCCGCGTTGCCACTCGCGATTCTAGTAGAATTGTATGTTTTCCGCCGCGCTGCGTTGCCACGTGACGAGCATGATAGAATGATAGAGTTGTATTATTCCACCCCCAGGGCGTTGCAACGTGCCGATAAGAGGGGCCAGACCTGATTTTTCCATTATCCAGGCGTTGCTACGTGACGAGTACAATAGAAGAGGCATTTGACGCCCTACTGCGTTGCCGCTTAGCGAGTACACTGGAATAACATGGATGTCGCCCCCCCCCCCCCCCCAGGCGTTGCCGCGTGACAAGTCGAGTGGAATGGAATTTTGCCAGCCCCGCCCGAGTCGAGCGGAATTTGTGTTTTTCTCAGGCCTGCTACGTGGCACGTGGCGAGTGTAATGGAATGATATTTGTTTGCCCCTCCTGGCGTTGTCGCGTGACGAGTCGAGTAGAATGGCATTTTACCCCGCACCGCCGGAGTCGAAAGGAATGGTATTTTTGTCCGTCTCATTGCGTAGCTTTTTGGGAAGTGTAAGGGAATGATATTTGTTGGCCCCCCCGCGCGCGACCAGGAGAGAGTCTCGAGTGCCACAAGGGGGGAGGGGGGAGGGGAGTTCTGCGCGCGGGAAGGAGGGGGTCTCGACTGCTGGAAGGAGGGGGTGGGAGGGGGGGGGCCAGCGCGCGGGCAGGAGAGAGTCTCGAGCGCCGGAGGGGGCTGCCCCTTTCGCCCCCCCCCCCTCGTGTGCAGAGGGGAGGGAGATCCTGGCCCCCCCCATCCGCGGCGGCAGAGCAGTTGTTCGCTGGGCATCGCTCCCTCAGATTTTTCTTGTGAGAGCCTCTTGGAGGTCTCTTGGAGCTATCTTGGGGCCCTCTTCGGGTAGTCTTGGGGCCCTCTTGGGGCTGTTTGGGGGGTCGTGGGGCACTCTTGGGGCGGTCTGAGGGCCTTCCTTGGGTTTTGGGGCGATCAGGGGGGCTCTTGAAGCGCTCTTGGGAGCTTGCCTCTTGGGGGACCCTCCGGGGTCATCGTAAAGCTTAAGAAGCCCATCGGAGGCGAAAAGGCAAGGATGCACCAATCATGGATTTCCGTTAGATTTGGGGGCGATTCGGCCTCTTCGGGGGTTCTTGAGGGGCTCCGGGAGCATTTGGAGCCGTCTAGTGACCGTCTTGGATCCTCTTCGGCGCATGCTGGAGGCTAACTTAAGCCATCTTGCGTTAGGTTGAGCCTCCTTGGATGTCCTCTTGAGCTGTGGGAGGCCATCTGGGAGCCAGCCTGGGGCACACTTTACCTCCAACCCCGCACGGCCACCCCTGTCCAGTCCCAGGGGAGGGGGTAGGGGCAGGGGTCAAGCTACCTACATGCCGCAAGCCCTCTTTCTCACTCCCACCCGCCTTCCCAACACATCATTATCGCCGAGCGCGCACTACATACTCGCATAGTGCCTACTCGCAAACGTTCGAAAACCATACGTCTGCTCTTGCGTACTATGTCGTAAATCTCCTGCGGCGGATCCAGGACATTTGCGAGTAGCTACTTTGCGAGTAGGGGAACCCGCTTGTCCGCATTGGCACCCGAGTCTCAGCACAGGCAGGGGGCGCCATCAACCACACTTGGGAACCAGTGCAGACGCCAGCCAGGTGCGCGACACCCGCTGTAGGTGTGCCGCACGTGCCAGAGCACTCCCCATCATAATGCCAAATAACATTGAGGAGGAGGAGGATCAGGAGGAGGAGGAAGAGGAGGGAGGAGGAGGAGGAGGAGGAGGAGGAGGAGGAGGAGGAGGAGGAGGAGGAGGAGGAGGGGACGCGAGGAGCAAGTCCAAGCGAGCAACGTGCACTTGGCATTGGTTTTCGACATGGATGGTGGGCCTGCACACGTGCGGCAATATGCTAACACCCCCCTCGTCCCCGTCAAGCAAGAGTGTAAAGTGGTCGCGGGTGCCCGAACATGATCTGGGTTGCGCCGCAAAGTGCACGTTGATGAGTTTTTTTGACAGTAGATGGAGGGGGGTTGGCATTGGCACTGGTTAGAGGCTGGTAGAGTGGGAGGAGTACATAGTCATGAGCGGTGATGTGAAATTTAAAACACTTCCCAAGTGGGGGAAGAAGGTGTTCGGAATAGGGAAGACAGTAACTAACAATTATACCTATGCGCCCAGAGGGCTGGTGGGATTCATATGCAGACCATGTCGCACATACATCGCGACAAATGTGCAACTCGTCATTATCTTCCCTTTCTACCCCCCGTCCTCCGTGCTCATCTTCCCTCTTCCAGACATCTCCCTCCTTCGCCTTCCTCTCTCCTTCTTCCTCCATCTTACCCATCCCAACCTCGGTCCTCCCTCCTGCTTCTCTTCTTTCTCCTGCACATCCTCGTGCTGCTGTTCATCCTCTTCCTCCTCGCCCTCCCCGCTCTTCTCCCGATTCTCGCCCTCCTCAGGCAAACGAGGCTGCGTTTGGCAATGTCTTCTCGTGCATGCTGTACGTCACGGGCCGCATATTCACTATGGGCAGCAGGCGGTGCAGACCCGCCGCCATGCGAGAGGACAGCACGGCAATGCCATGGTATGTGGACGACTTTCCTGAACTGCGGGCCTCATGCAGCGGTGCTGCAGGTTTGTCCCGGGAGCCCTCACCATTCCGCCGATCCTTTCGGGGCCCCCAAATGGGGTGGTGACCACACCGTGTGGTGAGTCGGTGGGGATTCGGGGCCACCGCACGGTTTTGGGACTCGGGTCGTTCTCCGAGGACGTCTCGGGCGACTGGGGCATCCGAGGTCCCAAAACCGTGCGTTGACGGACCGTGCGGTGAGGTCTTGGGGGATTTCGAGGTCACCGCACGGTCTGTCACAGCACCGTTTCGGGACTCCAGAGATCCTTTCAGGTGATGTCCTAGCTTTGCGCCGACGTCGGTCCTGTTGCCTGTCGCCAGATCCCCAAGCAGCGTTCGCTCCTGGAGGGCCACGCTTGTGCTCTGAGGACCTGTTCTCTGCCTGTCCCGATTGGCCGTTCGCGCGCTGGGGTCGGTGTGGCTTTCGTCGGGAGGGGCAGGAGGAAAAGAGACGAGAAGAGGAGGAGGAGGACGAGGAGGAGGAGGAGGAGGAGGAGGAGGAGGACGAGGAGGAGGAGGAGTGAGCTACCAGAGGTCGTGGAGCTGTTGCTGGCTCCACTTGGGCCGCCTTGGGCTGTCTTGGGCTGTTGGAAGCCCGAAGCAGCAGGAACGTAAAGGCCTGGCTGGGCTCTCTTGGGCCGTCTCGAAATTTCTTGCGGCTTCCTTGGGGCGCTCCTCTGGCTGTAGTGGAGGTCCTGAGGGCCGCGCTCGGGAGCTACGGCGTCCTTGACGGGACCTTGCCAGGGCACGTTTCTTCCGCGGACCCCGAGAGGCCATCACTCGCGCGCGGTCCAGTAGTATAGATCTACGTTGCACTTCTTACTTGACTTGGGAGTCGCTCGGACGTGTGCATGTTTCATTGACAAGAACCATCGAGCAGCATCCTGGATCGTTTAGCAATTAAAGCGCTCACGAACTCGAAGCATGCACGGGGAATGAATGGACGTCCGAGCAATGGCGAGTTGAGGTTCTAGCACGCTGTTGGCGGCGTGGCGTACGTCGATCGTGTGGAAACGTGTGGTGGGGTGGCCTACTGGGGCTTATGATGGTTGGCATTGGAGAAAGGTGTTTTTTCTCGGTTTGTCGAAGTCGTCTCGGGACATTGCCAGTCCGTGTTGTGAGTGTTTTACTTTGTTTAGAGGCTGTCAAGGGCCATTCAAGGCCCGTTCTTGTCGAGGGAAGCAAGTTTCACAACTCATCTCTGATAAGCATTTGGCGTTAACCTCCCCCTCTCATGTTCAGCGCAGCAGTGTTGGCGAGCGTTTTAGAACCGCATCCTCCCGGTGCAATTCTTCCCGTGCGCAACGCCTTCCATTGTTTTTGCTGCCGGGCAGAGGGGAAGTTAATTATATTATGGTTATGTGTTGAGGCGCTGGTGGCTTGAGGCTCTTATGCCTCGGAGCGCCCTGGAGCTGTCCAAGTAGGTCCCCAACCTCCAACATGAAGCAGTAGAAGTGGAACGTGCAGAATGGAGGAAGTCAGATTTAAAGGTGGAGGCGCTGAAGGTAGGCGTGGAGATAGCGACAGTGGTCCCTGGAGGCTAGGCGCCAGGCCTCCCCAGGGTGAGACGATTACGAGGAGGAGGAGGAGGAGGAGGAGGAGGAGGGAGGAAGAGGAGGAGGAAGAGGAAGAGGAGAACCAGTGTAGACCCAAGAGTCATCAACGATGTTGGCATACACCCTCCCTCCAAGCTCCCTCTTCATAGGCCGCTACAAGGGTCCAATTCCATTGAGGGAACATCCTCGTTCCCAGACAACTGTTTTAGGACCCTAAAGCATGCCAAACATTTGTCTCGGGACTCCAGCGCCACGGATCACCATGACTGTTGCGTCTTGACGATCCTGAATCGTGCCAGGACGCCATTCTTGTGATTTCAACACCGCCAATCAAAGTAACTGCTGCACCCTCATAATCTTGTTTTTTTCAGAACGCTATTCCTGGTACGTTGACCATGCAACTCTTGCTGTGTGTGAAAAGTAACGCGCGCGGCGCTAAGGCGAGAGCCACATGTTGAAAACGACCCGCCCCCAATCCGTGAAACTCTGGCACTTGTACAAAGAATGTGCGCGGCGCGAATGCCAGAGCCACAGTTTGAAAACGACCCGCCCCCAATCCGTGAAGTTCTTGCACTTGTACAGAGAATGTGCGCGTCGCGGAGGCGAGAGCCACGTTTTGAAAACGACCCGCCCTCAATCCGTGAAGCTCTTGCAACGAATGCACGCGGCGCGAATGCGAGAGCCACATGTTGAAAATGGCCCGCCCTCCATTTGTGAAACGCTTGCAATTTGTTTCAAACGAATGTGCGCGGCGCTAAGGCGAGAGCCATATTTTGAAAGCGGCCCGCCCTCAATCCGTGAAGCTCTTGCGTTCTTTCAGACGAATGCACGAGGCGCTAAGGCGAGAGCCACATTTTGAAAACGGCCCGCCCTCCATCTGCGAAGCGCTTGCAAACGTTTCAAATGAATGTGCGCGGCGCGATGGCGAGAACCACATTTTGAAAACGACCCGCCCTCCATCTGTGAAGCTGTTGCCAAGGTTTAAGCTTCAGGGCCAGAAATGGTAAGGACTTCTCAGGCGAAACGCCCGGCCCGCCGTTTCGACCAGCCTGGGGGTGCGACAGGGAGAAGTTATTTGTCAGGAAAAGGAATGGAGGAGGAGGAGGAGGAGGAGGAGGAGGAGGAGGAGGAGGAGGAGGAGGAGGAGGAGGAGGAGGGGGAGGGGGAAGGGGAAGGGGGAGGGAAGGGGAGGGAGGAGCGCAGGAGGCGGGATGAGAAGGCGGGGTTCGGAGGGAGGGGGAGGGGGAGGAGGAGGAGGAGGATGACGAGGAGGAGGAGGAGGACGAGGAGGAGGACGACGAGGAGGAGGACGAGGAGGAGGATGAGGCGGAATTAGGAGGCAGGACGCGCACGGCCTGAAGGCGAACGGTCACGCCGTCTCGCCTCGCTGCCATGCACAGGCACGGCCCCGTTGACGAGGAGACTTGACGTCGCGTGAGTGCAAGCATTTAGCACCCACAACGCGGGGTGATGGACACCCGCACTCACCCCCAAGCCTTCGGGCCTGGTGGCACCCCAGGAACGGGCCCCGCGGAGATCACCAGGGGCCTCACGCCGCCAGGATCCGAGACGAATCCAGCAGCCCGACCAGGCTTGACCCCACGGGGGCCCCCTTGTGTCGGACGTACGCGCGCCCGCGGCACCGCTCAGCCCCGCAGCGGCGCAGCCGCGGCGGTAGGCCGCGAGGAGCGACGCGACCTGGCCAAGCACCGCCTCGTCGGTCGCCACGGCGTCGACCTCCGCCTCCTCCTCACACCCGCCAGCAGGTCGGTGAGACCTCGGCAGGGGCCCCTGGTGGCGCCGCACTGGTGGCGCCGCGGAATTAGGAGGCAGGACGAGGACGAGGAGGAGGAGGAGGAGGAGGAGGAGGACCATTGTAAACCCAAGGCGCGTCAACGATACCGCACACCCGTCATCCAAGCTTCCTGTTTTCATAGGTCCCTACAAAGAGGTATTCTTATTGCGGGGATTACCCCAGTGAAAGACAACCGCCGGGGAATCCTCAATCGCCACAACATAATTCCAGGGATCGGGGGATTTCAACACCTCGAATCAACGTGATTGCTGCGTCTTGACAATTTGTTCGGGAAAGGGTGTAGAATTATGGTGAGCTTAGAAAAGATGTAGGAGGGTGAGGGGACCTTTGAGACACGCATCCGCAGCCTCTTTGGTACAAAAGCTGCTACAGTACCGGAGCTGGCTACGGCCAGGTCCCAGTAGCGCCACAGCAGGCGTTGACCAACCCCGCTCGTGCCCAGCGGCCGACAGCGCATGGCGATCCACGGCGATTTGGCCCGACCAAATCGGGCCAGAGGTGGTCAGGCAAAACCGCGAGAAGAAGCAGAGTCCAGAGGTTCATGGGCACCCACAGGAACAGCGAGGACTCAGACGAGGTCGATCTACACAACGACGGGTTCGACAGCAATCCAGACGAGGTCAGCCTAGACCTAGACGCGAACACCCACAAAGGAGAGATCTGCGTGATCACAAACGGATGGGATATGATGGAGTTGGAGCGGGAAAAAAAGGTACAGGCTTCAAGTCATCAGTATTCGACGGCTTAGAAGAGTATGGGCAGGAATGAAGCTTCGTGATGAGAGCCTACCTCGGTGGCCAGACCTGGCACATCTTAAGTCAGCGGCGCAGAGGGACCTCAGGCGCGGCCGGCAGGTGGATGTGAATATTGCGAACGAACTTTACCGAACGCGCCATGATGAAATAGCCAGTCACGGCCATGCAGATTGGTGGTGACAACATGAAGGCGTTTTAAAGCCAACGTGCAGCAGAAAAAACAAACGGAACATAAGCCCAGCGCGGGTAGTTTAAATCGCAAGTTGCGTTCTGGTCTTACCTGGTGCCGCTGAATCAGAGCGATGCAACACAGTGAAAACAAAAGACAGCAGCCGACCGAGTTCGAGACGACATGGGAGCACAAGGAACGAACGCCAGCAGGCAGATGCCCTTCGCCGTAGTGGTGACAGTAGTAAGAAGACCCCAGATGATCGTTCGAAACGTGGAGGTTCATATTGGTGCACAGGCGTTGGAACAACTTAGCAAAGCAGTTCGAACCTGCGACGGCGTTGAGAGCGCAAAACATCATGATCCGCATCTCGAATGTGAAACAGCCCCCCACAAACGCTTGTAGAGTCCGAGCAGCACCGCGTGGACTGGGAGAGAGACATACGGAGGTAAGACGCAGCCTCACTAGAAGTCCCCAGCGCAGGTGTGAAAGCCATACAACATGTCTTTGCTCAGACGGCGCCCATGAAAACCAGGGCGGTCTTACGCATGCAGAGCGAGCGGACGCGCGACGAGCTTGTCGCCACAACGGCCCAGCATTTACACGCGGCG